CGGCCGGAAATAACAGCATTCGAAAAAGGGATATCACCTTCAAAACCTCCTTGGTATTATCATCCAAATTAGAACTGCTTCCAACATTGCCAGTATAACTGTCAGCAAAACTACCAAACACATTTGAAGGGTTGTGGGGTGGGGGACTTGGCCTCACAGTTAATATGAGCTGCAAACGAATATCAAAACAAGCAGAAACATGGAGAAATGTTCAGTACAAATAAACAACTTTTTTCTCAAATGAGCACATCACAAGGATAGGTCTCTAAAACCATACAATGATAAAAATACATTGCACTTCATGATAACTATCAAGTACACACTCACAAATACTCTGTTACACCTAACGTTTTAAACTCAACTAAACATAGAGCCTTCGAGAGAGATAAAATGAAACCGCATTATTGTGCTTCTAGCAAATGTTAGAGCTCTGGCGAATATGAAAAAGAGGGGGCAAGAAAAGGACTCTAGGTTCTAATTTCTTAAATATTGAACCCCTTATACAATGTTATTAAGGTCCCTTCTGATTAAAGCATACATGTACCTTTGAGCCATCTCTCACAGTGATTTTGTGACTAACTTTCTTCATGGCTTCTGCAACTTTGCTCCCTTCAACAAAAAAGGCTGCACTCTCTCCTTTGAAATAATGAAACTAAAGAAAAAAAAACACAAACATAAGTGCTGCAATTGAGGGTAAAAAAACAGAAGGGAGTGAATTAATAGTAATTATTACACATTCAAAATATTTCCCCGATGCTGATTGGCTAAGAGCACACGCATAATTCACCATAACCAGCTACTGATGACCAAATTTGAGAGAATTTTGCGTTTAATGAACCGATGACGTCAAAAGTGCAACTAGAAGGGCGACAGCTGCTCTTTGGAGAATATTTGCGTAGCTGAACAACCCTAAACGTGCACTATCGAAGATGAACTTAACATCAATAATAAAACAACTATTGAATTCGGTTTTCGTATCATATGAAGAATTATGGAGATCTCGGAGGGTGTTATCCGCCTCGGCCTACGGCCTCGACGGATAACACCCTTCTCGATCTCCATAATTCTTCATAAGATACGCAGCCTCATTCATTAATTGTTAAATAACAATTTTTCACCGAAGTGGAGGTGGCTAGTGGAGGTGGAAACTTACCGAGGCCGCGAAGTGGCGAGGTAAATATCACCACTAGCCACCGACACGGAGGTGAATAATTGTTTTAGTACATACCAAAACAGTGAGATAATTAAGCACAAAAATGATGGAGGTAACTCATTTACTGCCAACGATTACAATTTTCGCGCGCAATGACCGAGCGTTCGCGGTCGTCGCTTTTTCTTGCCGACAACTAAAACTTTTGAAGGCATTTGTTTAGCTCTTGCGGGGAAATTTCTTTAAAAGGAGTTGTGAATTCTTTTTGTACTTAAAATCATTCTGTAAAAAAGATTATTACATTCAGTTCTAAGCTTATTTATGAACAGGTCAACTAAATAAAGTAATACAAGACTTAAGCTTAACGTGCATTTGTAGACAAAAAACTTTTTCACCGGTTTTATCGATAAATTCAAGCAAAAAAGACAAAGCTCTATCTGTTAAAACTTTCAAACCGAACTTCGTCACCTTCTTCGTGTATTTCGGGAACAGCTTGCTTGATTAGTTGTGAAATTTCTTTGTTTGTTACGGCAGCAAACCTGGAAGGCATCTTAATTTGCTCGCAACTTACGCCACTTTGGCGTCGCTCGCTCGGAGGATCTGGCGGTTAATCAGTGAATAGTGCAGGATATTCACTGATTGAGTAGCCAATCAGAGCGCGCGACAAACACTATCCATTGTTTTAGTATATACTAAATAATTATATTCATGAATTAGCTGTAGAACAAACAAGTAATGAATGTGGCATAACAGACAGCAGTAAAAGAGTTTTCCCGTCATTCTACAACCAGCAAGAGCGATGACCGAAATGACGCGCCATGTTCATCACGAATTTTCGTGTTTTTATACACGCATATAGCCTGCAACCGCAGACATATTTCTGGTCGTCGTTAAAATGCGTATCAAATCAATTCAAAACAAATCGTACCGTCGATGAAATAGGAAGTGAAAAACCTTTAGCGGGTAAATCCTGTTTCGTGTAGAATTAATCGCCTCCTCATTTCTTATCTAACCTCCAAGCAAGCGAGACTTAACGCCGCTTTTGAGGACGTTCTTGTTATTAATTGATTGATTTGATGTGATTTCAGAGCTACATACTACATTAAATTTAACTTGAGCTACATGTATGAACACTATAGCTTTTCATGCGGACATGAAAATACTCCAGCTTGGAAAAAAAGAAACAGCCAACAACTGCAACAATTTGTTCACAGCATCAATCTTAATACTGGAGCGGTTGGCTGAGAGGGTTTGCATGGTGCATTAAATCCCCAATATTTACCTCCATCTTAGTGGGTTCCAGTCTTCGCTCCGACTCATTCACTTCTGTTGCTGTTCAAATAACCATTA